CATTTGATATCAAAATCCTTAGTATAATATTAATCCCACACAACGCATGCTTTATACCTTTTTTATGTATTTAAAAATGAAATGCATTTTACCAAGTTAGAATTCAAGAAGGTTACAACTCTTTTTTCTTACAATTATTTTTATGGTTATTGAATCAAAATCAAATTAAATATTATAAAATGAAATCAAGTGAAAAAATTATAAAATCACACACAATAATTAATAACCAGATCAAAATCATAGTTTGACACCAACATCAAATAATCTTGTCCATATATAAGAAAAATATTTTTCAAGTCATTAGAGATAATCTTATCTCCGGCCACCTCAAAACTACGTCGTTTTGGATGTTAGGAGAATTAATGAATGATGTTTTGGTATTTTTGTTTGTTTAATTATTATATAACCAAAATGTCTTTCATTAACTCTCCTAACACCTAAAAGACGTAGTTTTGAAGTGGCCGGAGATAAGATTATCCCAAGTGACTTAAAATTTTATATATATATATATATATATATATATACACGTTTTAATGTTTTTACAATAAATGTAGATAAGTTATCTATATTTACTCCTAAAACGATATCATTTTGCATTCAAACATTAAAAAATTATAATAAAAAAGACTATTGTAACCCTAAAATAATTATAATTGCAAAAATACCTTGATTTTCGCTCCAAAACGATGTCGTTTTAGGCTCAATGTAGATAACTTATCTACATTATAGAAAAAATGAACGCATATATATATATATATATATATATATATATATATATATACGAAAAGAGATATTTTGATTTCAGAGTAAGATTTAAAACTATTACTCCCTATTTCAGTCGTTGATAGACAAGAATCAAATGTTGTCATTTGTAATATAATTAATAATTAATTAATTAGTATGACTACAAATGTAATTAATAATTAATTAATTAATGAGAGAGGTTATAGTTACTACCTTATTTTCTTACTACTTGTTACTACCAAATCTTAACCGTTGATTTCCGTCAATTTAACGGTTATAATTTATTCGAATTAATAAGTGTGACCCAATAAATTATAACCGTTAGATTGACAGAAATCAACTGTTAAGATTTGGTAGTAACAAGTAGTAAGAAAAGAAGATAGTAACTATAATCTCTCCCTTAATTAATTAGTATGATTTTCTCAACTATATATATATATATATATATATATATATATACATATATATATATATATACATATATATATGGGTTCGCTTTTTCTACGTTATTGCAGATAATTTATCTGCAGTAAGCCCAATACGACGTCGTTTTGGGATAAAAATCATGGTATTTTTATAATTTTAATTTGTTTCAGAGTTATTATAGTCTTTATAATTATAATTTTTTAATTTTTCAATCCCAAAACGACGTCGTTTTGAAAGTAAATGCGGATAACTTATCTGCATTAACTGTAGAAATTTTTTTCTGTATATATATATATATATGGAAAAAAGTTTCTCCTTTTAAAAGATATAACTTTTTTATCATTTTAGATCCTAACCGTTGATTTCTGTCAATCAACGGTTAGGATTTATTGAGTCAAACTTATTAATTAATTGGTAATTCATAATAAAATTCAATAAATTCTAACCGTTAATTGATGAAAATCAATGGTTACGATATAAAATGATACAAAATTATATCATCTAAAAAGATAAATATTTTTTTCCATGAAAAGAGCTATAATAATTTTGTTCGATGCTGAGGGCTTTGTTATTGTTTATTGGTCCATCTAATTCGGGCCTCCTTCGAAATCGATCCAGATTCAGTGGAACTGATCCATCAAAATTCACAAATGATAGTTGCAGCACGTCGATAAAAAACTGGGGAGAAAGATTTCAGTGATACGATACCACTAATAATTGCGTGGTCCTTCTGTGAAAATGTGATTTTTTTTTTTTACTTTGCTTCTTTCTTTCATATATATTTTTATTTATATCTCAAATTTTTCAAAGGAATTACTCACTTATTGGTGATGCTGGATCACTAAAATTTTACTCGAAATTGGATTGCTTCGTGATTTCTCTCTCTCTATTTTCAAACTGGTCTGCTTCGATTTCCCACCCAAGCAAAGTTTGAGGTTTTCGTTCTCTTTACAGTTACACCGACAACGTTTAATTTTCTACAATCATTTAATTTTTCTTAAAAAAATTTATTTTAATATATTATTATTAATCGAATATGTCTTTGAATTTACTCGAAAAGTAACATTCTTAGTCATAGAATATTTAGAAATGTCATCCAAAAAATGTAAATATGTGCCTTAAAATAAATGAAATATATTTTGTCTCATGAACATTTTATTTCATGCACACACAAAAATGGATGATTTGTTTTATTTCTCTTTTTTCTCATTAGTTGGTTTTTTTTTCATACGTATATGAGACAAAAATTATCTAATATAACGTAAGAAAGTATATTCTCTAAAACAAATGATGTAATATTTTCCCTGCTATAAAGAAATAATATTACCATTGAGAATGGTGAGACCCATTAAGAAAAGAGATAAAAAGATAAAAAGAAAAATAATAGATTTCACATACTTCCGTACAAGTTGAGGAGACGAAATTATCACTTATTTATCATCAATCCCTAAACTAATATCTCCCAACGGTAACAGTTCGGAGAAGACAAGGCACACATAGCTTACCAATTTTTTTCTTCAATGATTTCCCATACGATGGAAGGTGGAAGCTTAAAGAGTAATCAGCCTTTGTCCTGTTTCATTACTAGTAGCCACATGCCTTTTTATTAGTACAAAAATTGCCTTGATGAAATTTCCAAAAAAAATAAAATTGCCTTGATGTATATATACCATAATCTTTGAGTCCAGCGTGTAATCATGACGGCATTCCTATTTCACCAACTACATAGGTACTTTATTTGCCTTTAAACTAAGGAAAAAATGTATATTGTTTTAAAGGACGTAAAATTAGGTATTTTTAATAGAGTGATAAATATAAAAAGGTGAGATTCACAATTTTTTTTTTTTTTTATCTTTATTTTTTTAGTAAAATCCATACCTATTTTTATTTATATTTTTCTTAAAAAAACTTAAGTTTATATCAATTAAAAGTGAAAACACTCTTCCCTTAGACTGACTAAATGGTTTTCATTATTACTTTGGAAGTCCAACCTTGAATATACTGGTTAAAGTCATTCTGAAGCTGTGCTCACTGCAGGAATCCTGTACCCATTTTTTTTAATTTTTTTATATTCACGTATTCAATTACTCAATTAATGTTCAAGCGGTATCGGATCCATAATAGGAGGAGCTCTCCCAAAATTATTTTCTCTCTTATGAACTCGAGAGCATTATCTTTATTTAGCACATTAGGAAAGTGTTTTTCATATATCCTGACTATATATATGTGTACAAATGCTAACTCACCCAACTGAACACACTGGTCATTTTTGCTCTAACTTTTAAACTTAATGCTCAAGTCAATGTAAAAACGAGGTTTTAAACTGCACTGCCATTCGTAAAATTCTCTGTTTTGGGTTTGCTGTGAGGTTTATTGCCTTTTTCCGACATTCTAACTGGGTATTCTTAACAGCACCCCAAGTAAAGAGGGTTTAGGGGAATTTTAATATACTCGAAGTCGAAGTACATTATGTTCACACTACTCATATATATTGTGACAATTTAATGGAATAATTACATATAAACTGATAGATTAACTTTAGCATGATTGATGAATTAATGTAATACACCCCTCAATGTGCAGGAATAGGAGTAGGGTGAATTCGTACGTGAGAGAGCGAAAGAGATATTGATATTGATGTTGCCACCTGTGGTGAGGATCTGGCTAGCCATAAAGCAGTTTCTGAAACTAACACGGACTTTTAAGTTGTACCTCCTCTTGGAATTGGAACTTGGAAGTTTCTCCCTTGCAATGGCATATTTAAGATAATGTTTCGAGTGTGTTCAATGGGCTACAAGACACGGGCATATGTATATGGCGCTTATTAGCTTGGGGGTCTTTATCTCGTTGTACGGACCGTAAGTGAGGAACCTTCACATCATTAGTGGCCTCAAGCGGTACCACTTTGCTTAACACGCACATGATCATGTTATAGTCTTCTCGTTCGTCAATGACTTGTGAAAGGGAGAACGGACTCTTAAAAAAATTAAATAAAGCAAGCAAAATGTTCGCAAATGTCAAAGATTATCCAGGGGCATCTTTTTCTTGCTTTCTAAATTTAATCTTTGGTCCTGTCCTTGGTGAGTGAAGAAAATTATTCACTTATAGTTTTAAGGTTTGAAGTTTTTCATATAGGAGATAATTTTATCTTTTACACATATATAAAAATGTGTTGGGCAATATAACAAGAAGAGAGAGAAAAAAAAATTATAGCTCCTATACACTTTTATATATGTAGGAAATAAAATTATCTTTTATAACATGAAAAATATCAAACTCACAAAAGAAATAATTGTATCACTTATTCATACATACTTAAAAATGTGTAGGCAATGTAATTTTGTTTAGATGGGTTTAATGCTATCTCCTGCACATAAAAATTAAGGCAGAAAAAAGACCAACCCCCTCGTTCTACAAGTAAAATTAAAACTTTGTTTAGATATGGGAAAGTGTCAATGCTATTTGTGGAAGTGACAAATCATTCTACTGTCAAGCAAATGATGGGCAATCCTTAGAATCTTGGATTGTGTAAAGTGTTGGCTGCACAAGTCTTGTGTCATTTTAATTAGTCTGAAAATTAATGTGGTAAGAGAAGATCATACCGGATGAAAGGGATTCGGAAAATTGTTTTTAGGCAAAGTAAATAATGTATGTCCCAGCCATTTAAAAAGAAAAGAGAGAAACTTCCCGTGCACAAAAATAAACATATGTGATGGCATAGATATGGAAATGCAGGACTGTAATGCACTTACAGTGTAGCAAAGAAAGAAAGAGTATAGAAAGAACAATCAGAGCAATCTTTATTCTGCAATTCTACCCACACCCGAGAAGGTAACGACAAATGGTTTGGCTCACAATATTACCAAAATGGAGAAGAAGGTGAAAGGAATGTTTAGTGAAAGACCTATATACAAGACCAAAAACTGTGGTTGCACACACCTGTACTAAGAACATAAATCCCTTGGAGCACCTCTAAAATCTTTCTTTATGTCAAAGCCTGCTATATATGTCCAAATGCTGCTGTTAGCTTCTGAATGACCATTTGTGACGGTTCTTGCTGCTTGGAATGAGGATATATGGCCCCTAAAGTATCAGGTACCAAATGCGTGGCAGGCTTTATCTCGTTGCATAAAGATTCATGACCTTGATTTTGTGCAGCTGCCAGCATTAACATTGGGTTGTGAAGGTACTCACACCACTTAGCTTCTTCTGTCTGCCCTTCCATCAGATGAATTTGAGCCTCATTACTAGTATTGCTGCTATTGCTATTGTTGGAGGCACTGGCTTCCCAGTAATGTGATCCATTCACCATAAAAGAGGATGTAGAAACATCTTCTGGGGGGACAGCAAGGGATGGCTTGTAGCAAAAGGAACTAGGGAGAAATGAGCTAGTTGTAGTTGGAAGAATGGACATAACGTTGGAATTAAATTCAGAGTTCATATCAAATGGCCTTCCAGTTTGGTTGAACCAAAGACTAGAGTTTGAATTGTTTGGGAGAGTGTCAGAGGATGCATAACTCATCTGAAGGGGGTAATTTCCCATCATCAAATTAGAGGGTTGGCAATTAGTGGTGTAGCTCTCTTGGTGAGAAGTCATAAACCTGTCAAGGAACAAGTCTTTACTGGAAAAAGTGGTTCTCAAGTTGCTGTCATTTTTGCTGTTAATCTTGGAGCTGGAAGAACCTTCCATCTCGGTTGCATAGGCTTTTGGGGAAATTGAAGATGGTAACTTCTCATAGGAAACTGTATCTGACTTGGAGCTCTCTGATTTCAGGAGGTTCAATTCATTGGGTACTTTCTCTTGGCTCCTGTTTTTGTCCTCCTCTCCAGTCTCAACCTCAGACAGTGGTTTATGGGTGACAGGATCTATACCTCTTTGCCTGAGTTTCTTCTTTAAGCAAGAATTCCACATATTCTTAATTTCATTGTCAGTCCTCCCTGGCAATTGTGCTGCAATTTGAGACCATCTGAGAAAGCACAATATATGCATGTCAAGAAAAAAAAAAGGGGGGGGGGGGGGGGGGGAAGTTAACCAGGCCAAGAAAAATGGAAGAATTTTATCATGAGAAGAAAGATTGGATTTACCTATTCCCTAATACTGCATGAAGTTGAATGATAAGATTTTCCTCTTCTTGTGAAAATGTACCTCTCTTTAAATCAGGCCTCAAGTAGTTGATCCACCTAAGCCTGCAGCTCTTACCACACCTCTGCAAACCTGCCAATAAACGACATTGACTAGGAAATGAACACAAAATTTCTTGCCTTGATTTGATGCTAAAGGAGATTAAAGGAAGCAGAGTTGGATTACCAGCTTGCTTAGGAACTGAGCTCCAACATCCATGACCATACTTCGTTATATGCCTCAAAAGTTTTTCATCCTCTTCAGGTGACCAAAGACCCTTCCTAAGCTTCTGCTTGTAACAACAAGAGTGCCTTCCCATTTGTAGATTATAGTTTCCTTCACCTCCCCCTCCCACCACCTACCTACAATGAGGGACGAACTTTTCCAACTAATTGAATACTTGTTGAATTATAGGGATATGTAAGCAAGAGTGGCACTGAACCAGACTTTATCAGATAGAGAGAATAAGAGAGTGAAAGAGATTATATGAAGGCAGAAAAATGAAGTGGCAGCCTAGAAAAGGAGTTGAATTAAATATAAGAACGAGGCCCCATGAGAGACGTCATAGTCATTAAGGTTCCTTCTATTTCTTTCTTTCCCTTTTTTTTTTCTTGAAAAAAAAAAAGTGTGTATAAATATGTTTTTGGATTTGGAGTGAGGGAAGGTTCATTTTGGCTAGGTGAGAAAATGAGGTTAATAAAACAGTATAACATGTCTTATAATTGGAGGTGTGAGTTTTGATGTCTCCTGTAAGAATGGTGGGGGCAATTTCACTGATACTATAATCAGGATAAGACATTATCTGACTACAATCCATGCTTGTAACCGAAGCATGAAAATTTATCCTCCATGAGGAACAAATTGAGAAGAAGTTATCTCACTCCGTACAAACTCTGATACCAATAAATATTTAATTAATTACCTTATGGATCCTCTCAAGAAAAATAATGCAATTCCATTAAATATAATATAAGAATTAAAATAACCCACACCAAATTTCCTCGTCACACACTACAATTTCTACACATGTGTGTCAGTGAAAAGCGAAATGGAAAATAACCCCCTTTGGCTAGAGCTGGAAAACTTGTGTATGACAAAATAGATAAATAAATAAAATAAAATAAAATAGGTCTCTAACCATTCTTTACTCTTTGAACTTTCTGTGCAATAAAATAGGACTCTAACCATTCTTTACTCTTTGAACTTAATGTGCAATTCATCCATGTCATGATTTCTTTGAAAAGTTCCATCATTACGTGGAAAGAACAGCGTTTTTTTTTTTTTGAAATTATAAATAATGCATGTTATCCTTTATCCGTTGAAATTCACTCGCTGTTGCAAATTTAACTCATTCAGATCACAGTTTCCATTTTTCGATAATAAATTTCTGTCAATTTTCCTTTTGTCTGAACTCAATTAAAATATTTGATACTTTCTCAATGAAGTAATAAAAAAACAAAATTAAATTGAATGTAGCGATATTGGTCACGTAGACGCACACACAGTCGCTGATAGGCATAGCTACAAAAATGGGAAAATATTCTTGCTGGCACATTTGGTAGAATATAATTTTTTTTTACCGAAAAAATACAATTACTATGAATATGATAGAAAATGAGTCTGTTAGAAAAGTTAAAAAAAGTTGTTTGGTACATTAAAATATTATTGAAAAAATTAAGTTAAATTTTTTGAGTCTATATTTGGTTGAAGATAAAATATTGATGAAATAATAGATATAAATTAAAACAACACGAGATATGTACAAACTGACTTTACACGATGGGAGGTCATTTTGGTCTATCTCATTTTTCACTTGCTCAGTTATTCCAAAATACCACATTAAAAATGATATTTTGGAACAGTAATTTTCTTTACAATTTCAACACAAATGTGAATAGATGGGCAACATAGTTTACTAGAATTAGTATCTTATTTGTTAGCCATGTTGTTAAAACCGGACCGACCCGGTCGGTTGGCCAGAAACCGGCCCATCAACCGGTCCAATTCTTGCGATTGAACGGACAAGCGTTCGACACGGTAAACCGGTATTAACCGATGACCCGGTGGACCGATTTTATAGCTTAAACCAGTTTTTGAAAAAATATTTTCAAAGTTGCAGCCGCTGGGATTCGAACTCGAGTCTCATGAGAGTGCCCAACAACAACTTACAACTAGGCTGAGTTTGTTTGTTAGTTAATATGCACCATTTAATATATATATATATATATATATATTATAATTTAATAGAATTATTTCAAAATAGCCTTTAGTGGGAATTGAACCCTTATTATGAAGATATAAATTATAGTTTTTATAAACTACATTTGATTCTTAATTCACTTGTACTATTTAAAATATTTATTATATAATTAAGTATAAAATATAAATTTATATATATATCCGGTTCATGCGATTGAACCAGTGACCCATTGATCCAGTACCTTAACCGGGTCGATCACCGGTCCGGGTTTAATATCATTGTATTATAAGGTTATGTTTCAGTTTAACGAAGTATCTTTTTCTCAATAATTAACCTGACACTTTTAATCAAAGCTTTAATTATGGACAACTAACTTTTGGGCGCATTAGTTGATTCACTTAATAATAATTTGTCAATGGGTTTATTAAAATCTTATTAACTCCACAACCATCCCACCGGTATGTATGGTAATCACATGTGCAACATTTCTCTGAACAAATGATCCTAAAGTTCTTTGTATTTACTTCTTTGATTAATTAGCCAAAAATTTATTTGATACTGTTAAACCGCTCTGTTTTCTTTCTTCTTCTTTTTTGTAATTATTGTCGAGTAGCTGTATTTGTCGGTTTAAAATTAGCAAAGGTATCTACAAAAAAATAAAAAACGGCACAGATATTAATATAAACCAAATGTTTTACTCATCTTGTTCCAAAGAAAAAAGTTTTGCTAATCCAATCAAGCACCTTATATATGGTTTGCCCATAAAATGTTCATTGATTTCGCTTTATTTTTATTTTTGGGTAAGCCATTGATTTCGTATTTATCATTTCCCAGAAGAAACAATGAGCTTCTGTGAAAGAAAGAAAAAAGTAATTATGATATTTGCACTTTAATAACACTATAATAGCAGGTCTTGCAAGAAAACCTCCTATGGTATAAATGGCACTGCGCCATGTGACAACTAATTGAATGTTGAAAGATATTCTGTTTGGATTAACTTATTAATTTTAAATAATCAAAAGCCAAAAAGAAAAAAGAAAAGAGAAAGAACAAAGCATGATACTCCAAGTTTTTCATATTCTTATGTTATATAACATACATACAGAAGTACAGAACAGAAATACACAAAGCAGATATTTATATTTTATAAAGCTAAAGTAAAAATGGGCTGTGTGCAACTCTTTCCTCCTCTCTCTCTCTCTCTCTTATGTTTTGTTCTTTCTTTTTCTTTATGGCTTAAGACCTCCCCATTTCTGCTTTCTGCATCTTTTATGTTATACCTTTACTCAGAAACCCAGGCAAGATAAGAATTAAGAAGCCATCTCTATATAAAAATGGAAAGAATATTCTGCAACTTAACACTAACTCATCCAGAATTAGAAAGGGGAATAAATTAACCGAATCTGCAACGCAAAACTCATCAACATAATATATTATATAGAAAAATATTAAAAAAAGGGAAGCATAATAATAAAAAAGAAAGGAAAGGAGAGGCATTCTTTGAATTATTGCATATCATTAGCTGTCGACACTGTGGCCCGCATCGAACTGTAGAACCTTTTAAAATAACAAAAAATAAAAATAAAAATATTAAAGGTAGGATCATAAGTCAATCTGTTACATACATTTTTATATGTATTAATAAAAATCATAATGATCTTCACATAATTAAATATTAGTAATATTTTATACGTTTTTGGTACATGGATCAATTTCCACCGTGCAGTTGTCTCCCCCCTCCCCCTAACACCGCTGCTTCTGCTTAGAGGTGGCAAAGTAGGCGGCCCGTCCCGTCTCGCTCCATCCCACTCCGTCAAAAAATAAGTCAGTCTGCCCAGTCTCGCTTTTGAAAGTGGGTTGAAAAACTCAGCCCGTCTCGCCCAGTTTGACGGGTTGGGCGAGTTGGGCGGGTTGGCCCATTAGCCCGAGCCTATTCTACACTGACCTGCCTCGGCCCGCCATCAACCCGTCAAAAAATAAGTCCACTCCGCTTTTGAGATAAGTTGAAAAACTCAGCCCGTCCCGACCCGTTTGGCGGGTTGGCCCGCCGAGCCGAACCCGTTTTGCCGGCTCTACTTCTGGTTGTGAGCTTGAATGCCGAAATTGTCGTCACCAAAATTTTCTACTTACGATAATTTGTAAATATATAACTTTAAAAAAAAAAAACTCTTGCATACCTGTATTTTTATTAAGCTATTGATTAAGAATTATTTAATATTTAATTATTAAAAAAAAGTATTACATATTTTTATTCACAAAATATTTTTCATTTAGTAATTTCTATTTTCATTCTTTAATTAATGGATAAAGGATTTCTCCGGTCAATGAAGATAAGTTATCTCCAGTGAACTCAAAATGATGTTATTTTGTGGCGAAAATCAAGGTATTTTTGTAATTATCATATATTGCAGGGTTATATTAGTCTTTATTATTATAATTTTTTAATCTTACAACCCAAAATGACATTGTTTTGAGCTCACTGAAAATAACTTTATCTCCAATTATTTCCGGTGACGAAATACTTTTTCCTTAATTAATATATCCATAGTATTCGTTGATTTTTTCAAACAATAAAATAAAAAAAGGTAAGAAACAATCGGTCTCTGATCACACATGTGGCAATGACATTACCTTTGTTCGACCTTAATCATATATGCACTTAATTTGGTCAACATCGAAAGATGAAGGGGACGAAATAGCTAGTACGCTGAACAATTAAGGCAATTTCATCATTTTTCCCTTTTTATTATTTCAAAAATATCACTTTATCCAGTCTTGAAATTATATATCAATTTGTTCTTGTTTGACCGCTGAACGATCAATATAGTCAAATATATCAAGTCTCAAGAACATATATCCGAGTACATGACCCCAGATACTCAAGCTTTTTCTGTTCCAGGGAATGTACTCAAGTATATGGTAAAAAAAAATTCAATTTTTCTTCGAAACGTTTCCAACGCGTAACTCTTGAAAAGTTATGTGTAATAAAAAAAGCATCTGATTCGAACACTCGAATCAAAAGTTATGATCTTTCGAAGTTTTATTTAAAAATTTCTAAAATTTTGTAATGCCAATAAATTTTGTGATGCCTACAAAGCTCTTCCTCATGTCACCAGAGCCGAGTCTAATATTATGAGTAACCTGAGGAGGAGCTTTGTGGGTATCACAAAACCTATTGACATTACAAAATTGTAATTTTTTTGAATAAAACTTCTGAAGGCCATAACTTTTGACTCGGTATTCGAATCGGGTGTTTTTTTTTTGTTTCTATATAATTTTTTG